ATCTTAGGAAAAGAAAGAAAAAAAAAGATTGAAAGAAGAATAAAGATTTTGAAGAAGAAAGAAAGAAAAAGAAAAAAAAATATGAAAGAGAGAGAGAAAAAAAAAAAAGAAAAAAAGATTAAAAAATTTTTAATAAAAAGAAAATAAAAGAAAAGAGAAAGGAGAAAAAAGAGGGAAAGAATAAAAGATTCATTTGTGAAAAAAGAAAGTTTCCTTAGAGAAAGAATACGACACAATGAAAGAAAAAGGTAAATACATGAATGTTTCACATGAAAGAAAAAAACTATTAAAGAAAGATTTTTTTGAATTTAATAAAGAAAATTTCAAGTGAAAAGAAATTTTTCTACACAAGCTTAAAATGAAGCTCCAAAAGTATATGAATAAAGAAATATTGGTATAAAGAGATATATATATAAAAAAAAAAAAGGTTTAAATGTTCTTAAATTGAAGATAAAAAAAATATTTTTTAAAATTGACATTTCTTACCAAATATGATATAAATATAGAGAAAAAAAATATTTAGGATGATGTATGTGTTAAATGTAAGAGAGAAGAAATACTGATATGATTTGAAGGAGTTTGCTTTTTTTCTTTTGAGAGAAAAGAGAGGAAAAAATATTGATGAAATTTTTAATTCAAATAGATTTAAAAGAGAGAAAAAGACAAAAAAAGAAAATGAAAAAGATATTTTTATAAATGATATAGAAGATTATATTAGGGAGAAAATTTATAATTTAATTTTGAGAAAATTTGAGCAAAAGAAAAGAAAAATTTTAGAAAAAGAAAAGGAAAAAAGGGAGAATTTTGTCGTTTAGAGGAAAAAAAGAGAAAAAAAAAGAAAGAAAAAAAGAAAAAAATTTTGCCGTCCAGAGGAATCAAAGGAGAAAACAATGGAAAAAATATTTCAAAAAAATTATTAAAGAGAAAAATGTTTAAATGAAAGAAGAGATCAAGAAAAGAGAGATTTGTCAGGAAAAAAAGAAAAGGGAGAACAGAGAAAAGAAAAATTTAAAAAAAAAAAGGTTTAAAAAAGAAAGAAAAAGATTGTTTTTAAGAGATAAAAAAGGATTGAAAGTAAAAAAAAAAAAGAAGGATGAAAAGAGGCAAAAAAAAAGAAAAGAAATCATTTATTTCAAAATCCAGGAAGAAAATTTTTGGAGAAAGAAAAAAGAAGATAATTAAAAGAGAAAAAAAAAGATTAAAAAAAATTTTTGAGAATAAAAACAAGAAAAAAAAAAATCAAAGAGGAGGTAAAAAAGAGATTTTCGAAGCGCCTTTTAAACAAAAGTTTTGAAAATTTAAACAAAAAAAGTATTTTCAAAGGTACATTTACAAAAAAATAAGAGAATTTTATAAAGATGAATGAAATTATTTTAAAAATTGAAAAAAAAAAATTTCCTCAGGATGAAAAAAAATTGAATTTTTAACATTTGAAAAGAAAGGAAAAAAAAAAAAGAAGAAAGAGATTTTAACAACAGAAAGAGCCCAGATATAAAACAAAAGAAAACTTTACGACATAAATTTTCTTTAAGAGGGAGAAACAGAAATTATATCTTAATGTTTTTTTTTTATTTTGTTTGTAAACCATGAAAGAGAGATAATTATAAAAGAAAGAATTTGTTTAAAAAAATTGATGAAAGATAACTGTTAATTAAATTCAAAAAACAAAAGTTATGTAGACTGTCCGAAAGTTGAGATGTTTTTTTTTATTATTTTTTTAATGAAAGAATAATTTGAATTTAAATGAGAAGAGAGAAAAAAAGTGAGTGGGAACAGAAAGGTGTTAAAAGAGAGAGAGGAAATGGTCTCCTTTTAAAAATAAAATTCATTTGAGAGAACTTATTAAATGGAAAAATAAAATGAAAAAAAGGAAAAAAGAATGAAAATTAATAGTTTAAAAAATTCAAGACAGAGTAAAGGAAATTAAGAGCGAGAATAGAGAAAAAAGAAAGAAATTATTCATTGTGAAAGGGAATTAGACTTTTTTTTTCATTAAGAAGATTGTTTTTATTCCAAAGAAAAATGAAAGGGAAGAAAAATTAAGGGAAATGAAAAAAGAATATCCAATAAGAAAGAAAGATTTACTTTCAAAGAAAACAAAGAAAAAAATGAGAAGTTTTTTAAAAATAAAAAAAGATTTAAGACATTTTTTATATTTAAATGAAAGATATAAGGTTTAAATAAAAAAAGGAAGAGAGGATGAAAGTTAAAAAAAAGATTTAGAAGGAATTTAGATTTTTAAGCATGAAAAGACAAGAAAAAAAAGAAAGAAAAATAATGAAAGAAGAGGATTATTAAAGAGTAGAATAGAAAGAGTAGAGAGGAAAACACCATGAATTTAATTAAGAATGAGAGGATGAAAATGGAAATCAATGACAGTTAAAAGAGAAGACATAAATAAAAGAAAGTGAAATGAATATAACCAGAAAAATGGTCAAAAGGGTAAAATATTTATTTTGGTGTATTAGAAAAAGGACATTGAACTGTGTTATCAGAAACACTAGATGACAAAGAAAGGATGAAAAGAAGAGGGAATCTTTTTGAGAAGACGAAAAAATTGGTTCATGAACGAGAAAAAAAATTTTTCAAAAAGGGAAAAAAAGAAAACAGAATTAAAAATAGAAGACCAAAGAAAAAAAAGAGAGTGAAAGTAAAAAAGAGAAAAAAAAAGAAGAGAAAAAACTTTAGGTAAAAAAGAGAAAAAAAAGAATTTTGTTTTAGAGAAAAAAAAGAAAAAGAGAAAAAAAAGAGAAAAAGAAAGAAAAGAGAAAAGAAAAAAGAAAAGAAAAAAGAAGACGAAAGAGAAAGAGAAAAAGGAGAGAACCCTTGAAAGAGAAATTGATAGTGAATGAAAGAAGAGGGAATAAAGGGTTTTGTTCACTAGATCTGAAGTGAGCTTTTTAGAAAGAGAAAAAAAGAAAGAATAAAATTTCAATGAGGGAATTATGGAGAAGTCCACAATTTTAGAAAATTTCAGACAGAATAGAAAGAGAAAAGAAAGAGAAACGTCTGCAAGGAATCCTAATGAGAGAAGAAGAAATCAGAGAAGAGAGGGGAGAGAGGAGAAATATTAAAAAGAAAAGAAATGAAAGAAGAGGGAATTAAAGAGAGAAGACGACAGAGTCAAAAGATTGAGGGAGCAAGAAAGAGAAATAGAAACAGAGGATGAAAGAAGAGATTTTTTAAAGTCACCAAAGACGACATGGTCGAAAGGGAAAGAACCAGGAGATTTGAGGACAATGAAAAGAAGTGCATGTGAAGGAGAGAAGAATTACTTTAGTTGGTTTTAGAGAGAGAGTGAGAGAGTGAGAAAGAGAAAAAAGAAATAGTGGAGGAGGAAGAGGGAATCCCAGAGAGAAGATGACAGAGTAGAGACCATACAAAAGAGTCACATAAAAAGAAAGAGAAAAGAAAGAGAGGATGAAAGAAGAGGGTTGCTGTAAATATCGGACAGTTTCATCACCAGTTAGAGACAAAAAAAGAGAAAAAAAAGAAAGAGAGGATGAAAGAAGAGTCTACTACCTGAGAGAAACAGTACATTTAATCTTGAAAAAGAGCGAGATTTTGCCAATCAAGAGAATAAGACTATTTTCTTTTTTAAAGAGAAGACGACAGTTTGAAATAGAGTGGGAGAGCGAGAAAGAGAAAAAGAATTTCTAATGAAAAAGAACTTTAGCAAAGAAAAGAGAGAAGAAACAGAGCAGAGAGAGTGAGTTTTGAAAAAGAGAAAACACAAGAGAGGATGAATGAAGAGGAAAAAAAGTTTTTTAATCTTAAGAAAAACAGCATTTTATCCATTTCTCATTGCGGAGAAACATAAAAAGAAAGAGGATGAAAGAAGTTGTTTATTTGTACTTTAAGAAAAAAATTTTTTTTTTTTTTAAATGAAAGAGAAATTTCAAGAGGATGAAAAGTCCTAATTTTTTTTTTAGATTGATTTTGTTAGTGGGAGTGAGGAGAAAGAACTTTTTTAAATTGGAAAAGAGAGGAAAAATTAAAGAGAGAAGAAGAATTTAAAGAAACAATAAGAAAGGAGAAAGAAAAAAAGAAAGAAAGGAAAAAGAAGAAATTATTAACCAGAGGATGACAGATAAAAAAAAAAGAAAAAAAAGAGAGAGAAAGAGAAAAAAAGAAAGAGGGAATGAAAGTAAGGAATGAAAAAGAGAAGACGACAGAGTAGAGAGAGAGGAGAGGGTGAAATTGTTAGAGGATGAAAGAAGAGGCCTGAAAAGAGAGAAGACTTCAGTGTAGAGAGAGGAGAGAGGTTGCAAGAAAAAGAAAGAGAGGATGAAAGAAGAGGGAATTAAAGAGAGAAGCACAGGAAAATAAATGAGGAGAGACCGAGAAAGAGAAAAGAAAGAGAGCCATGAAAGAGGGAATTTCAAAGAATTCTAAACGACAGAGTAGAGAGAGGAGAGATTAAAAAGGAAAGAAAAAAAAAATAGAGGATCATTCCACTGTAACAAAGAGGTCTCTGACAGAGTAGAGAGATGAGAGAGATTAGAAAAGTGGAAAAAAGAAAGAAAGGATGAGCAGAAGAGGGAAAAAACAAGAGAAGATATTTCAGATGGAGAGTGAGAGAGGAGAATGATATAAAAAAGAAAGGGGAGGATGAAAGATGAGGGAATTAAACCAATAAAGACGACAGAGCAGAGGATTGAGAGAGCACAAAAAGAGAAAAGAAAAAGAGGGAATGAAAGAAGAGGATATTAAACAAAGAAAAATAATATCTCCTCAGGAGAGAGTGAGAAAGAGAAAAAGAAAGAGGTATGAAATTTTGGAGACAAAGAGAGATATGGTGATTCCCATTTGGACCAGTAAACTCAAAGAAAAAGTTGTTATCCTCTCAAAGAGAAAGGAAAAAAAAGAACAAGAGAGAAAAAAAAGTGACCCAGAAAAAAAGAGAGGATGAAAAAAAAGGGAACAAGAGAAAAAAAAAGGACAAGACCTTAGAGAACAATGTTCAGGAGCGAGAAACATTTAAAAAAAAGAGAGGATGAAAAAAGAGGGAAAAGTGAGAAAAGAAAAAAGAGTAGAGAGTTGAAAAAATGGAAAAAGAAAGAGAACTTGATTCCAAAGGGAATTAAAGAGAGAAAAGAGAAAAGTGGAGAGAGGATCCTGCGAGAAAGAGAAAATAAAAGAGAAAATGAAAAAAGAAAAAAATAAAGAGAAAAACAAAAAAAAAAAGAGAGAAAAGAAAGAGTGTTTCTCTTGAGAGAAAGAAAAAAGAAAGGTGTAAAGAAAGAAAAGGAAAAGAAAAGACAGTTGAAAAAAGAGCAGAGAACAAAAATTAGGAGAAAAAGATATAAAGAAATATAGGAAAATGGAAATAAATGGATTTTTTTTATTTGTGTCAAAGTTCTTAAAATCTTAGAAAGAGAGGAAGAAAGAAAGGGTTGTATTTGAGAGAAAACAAAGAATTAGGGAGAGTAAATCGAGAAAAGAAAAAAAGAACAAAAGAGGGAATTATATATATATATAAATAGAAAAAAAAAAAGAAAAAAGGAAAAAAAGGAAAAAAGAAAAAAAAGAATGATGAAGAGGAATTAAAGGGAGAAAAAAGAAGAAAAGAAAAAAAAGAGGAGAAAAGAAAAAAGAAAAAGAGGGATGAAAAGAAAAGGGAGGAAAAAAGAAAAGAAAGGAAAAGAAAAAAGAAAAAATTGACAAAAGAAAGAAAAAAATAAAGAGAGGAGAAAAAAGAGGGAAAGGAAAAAGAGAAAACGACAGAGAAGAAAAAAAAAAAGGAGTCATCTCTGAAAAAGATGAGAGAAGGATGAAATTTTGTTCTCTTTGAAGAAAAAAAGACGACAGAGCAGAATAAGAGGATACTGCAAAAGGAAAAAAAAAAAAAAAGGATGAAAAGAATAGGGAATTATATATATAGCACAAAGCAGAGAGGGGAAGCGAGATTTAAGAAAAAATGCTGCAGAGGGAAAAAAGAAGACTTTTGGAAATGAAGAGAAGACGAAGAGCAGAGAGAGGAGAAAAACAGAAAGAACACTTCAATGTCGTGAAAAACCAGAAAAAACATAATGTATAAATATTAATTAGAGAGAGAGTCCTGCAAATAAGAGAAAAAGAAAAGAAATCTTTATTTTTTTTTCCAAAAATAACTAAAAAGAGAACATATTTGACATTAGAGAAAATCTGCCCAGGAGAAAGGATTTATCTTTCTTTCAGGGAATCCATGAAGAAGACTGCAACAATTTTTACTGATAACAAAGAAACTCACATAAAAAGAAACTTTTTATGGAAAGAAGATCTACTTAAGAGAGAAGACGACAAAATAGAGAGACAATTTTCGAGAACTAGAAAAACAAGAGAGGATGGTTCTGGAGGGAACTCGGAACTGAGACGACAGATTAGAAATGCAATAATAATAATAAAAATAGTTTTTAAGCTGACTCAATTGAAAAACCATTATGCAAAGAGAGAAGACGACCTGATGGCTGAGAGTGAGAGATTCCAAAAGAGAAAAAATAAGTAGGAGGTATTTTGTGTTGGGAATTAAAGAGAGAACTCTCCTTCAAAGAGAGGAGAGACGTTATTCGTACTCAAAAATAGCGAGAGGATGAAAGATTTATGAATTAGTTATTTTAAAGACGAAAGAGCAGAGTTAGCTTTAGAGGTAGAAAGAGAAAAAGAACTAAAGAGAGGATGAAAAATTCAAAAAATAATTCTTTAACGATCAGTTGTTCAAGACTGAGAGAGCTAGAACCGAAAAAAAAAAAAAAAAAAATGAAATAAACGAAAATTTAAAGAGACGATTTTTCAAGAAAAAAAATTCCAACAATTGTTCAAGAAAGAGAAAAGAAAAAGAGGAAAAAAGAAGAGACGAAAAAGAGAAGACGAAAAAAGAAAAAAGTTCAAAGCAGACGAAAAAAAAAAAAAAAAAAAGTAAGGATTTCCTTTTGAAAAAAAGAAAAGAAGAAAAATCTAATAATATTTGACGAAAAAGAAAAAAGAACGACATCCAAATTAGGAATTTCATTAAAGGGAGAAGATCAACCTCTTAGAGATCAAAAAAAAAAAAACGAATAATTAAAAGATTGTAAAAAAGAAAAGGGATGATAAAGAATTGTTTCTACGACAAATTCTATGGTTAAATTGGGAGCTCCTTTTTAAGAGAAATCAAAAGATACATCAAAAAGAGGAATTAAAGAGAGAAGAAGATGCTCAAAGAGAGTGAAAGATTGAGACGAGCAAAAAGAAAGAAAGGCTTTAAAAGATTGGGAAAAATAAAGAGAGCAAAGTATCAAGAGCAGTGAGATCTGAGCAGAAAATTTTTGGAAAAAAACTAAAAAAAAAAAAGACTGAAAAAAAAGGGAATTAAAGAGAAGAAGTAAACAGAAAAAAAGGAGTTAATAAAAAAAGGTAGAGAAAAAGAAAAACCTGTCTCAAAAAGACAGCCAAAAACTTTAATGAGAAAATTCGACATTTTAAAGAAATTTTAACAAATTTGTCTTCTTTTAGAGAGGATTCCAAATTATTTTTTTAATT